GTCCCTGTTCCTCGATTTTTGATCATATTGCTGGCTATCTTGTTTTGACCGTGAGTCTTTTCCCGCAGGTCCTATATATGGATCGTACCTATTTTTACCTGATCTTTTTTCGGTTTCTGATCTTCTGGAACCGCCCCTTTCTTCATGATGAAACTTAGGTATAATATCTTCTTTAATTCGCAGCTTCGTACTGTACCTGTTGTAAACATCATTCCACATGGTTGCAGGGAATTTTCAAAGGCTTTCTTTGAGTCTTCTCGTGGCTTTAGAACTTTTGTCATTTAAATTACTTGCAAAAGCTATTGCAGCCCGGTTGTCAGGTACACGGGGTAGAGTCATTCTTTCACGATGGAATCTATCAACAAAGTCTCTGAGCAATTCTGAATCCCCTTGTTTGATTTTGAAAATATCTTCCATTCTTTTCTCAACCTTTTGAGCTCCCGAATGTGCTTTAATAAAAGAATCTGCAAGCTCAGCAAAAGAATTTATAGAATTTTCAGATAAAAGAGAATACCAGGTTAATGCACCCTTGGTTAGTGTTTCTCCAAATTTCTTGACCAGTACTGATTCAATTTCTTGTTTGGTCAAGTCGTTGCCTTTCACGCCTATTGTAAATGCAGTCACGTGGTCACGTGGGTCTGTAGTACCATCATATTTCGGGATGCCATGCATTTTGAACTTTTTCGGAATTGGAAGGGGAGTAGCACTTGGCTTCCAAGGTTGTTGTGAGTATTTGTCCATGTTTACTCCTTTTATTACAAGCGGAACTCCAGGGATTTGCTCAATACGCTCATTTTGTTCCTTAATCTGTTTCTGCAAGGTTAGTACTAAATTTTGCAAATAGGAATTATCTGAATTACCTGGTCCCCCTTCCTGTGGTTCACTGGTGGTTCCTCCATTTCCAGAATTAACAATACCAGAACGAGGATTCTCCAATATATTATTATTAGGAGTTGGTGTGGGTGGTGCAGCAGGCAATCGACTAACTAGAGCCTGAAGAGCTTTGCCGACCTGTGCATCAATTAGCTTTTGTAAAGCTTCATTTGTACCTCCTTCAAAGTGTTCAGATTGTTCTTGTTGATCAGCACGGGATTCCGGAGCAGGAGTGCCTTCACGAGATTGACGTGGTGAATCCGGAGGGGAGGGAACCACGTCAATGTTCGGTTGGTCACCTTGATTTTGATGGATTTGATTTTCATGGTTCCCAATGTGTTATCACTGTTATTGTTGTTGTTGTTTGACATGTTGATAAAAGACGAATAAAGTGTAGCTTCAAAGAAAAGATTATCAGTTTTCCGGTAACGGAACCAATTTGTTTAACCAAAAAGATGAATCTTTGGTCAAAGCTAAAGACAAATAGAAATTCGGGCTACTGATAATCAGGAGACGAAAAAGAAATAATAGACTTTTTGAGAATGACAAATAAGCAGTAGATAAGTTTGTATTTTAATGTAATGTTGATGGTATCCTCTGTCTTTACAAATGACCTGACCTCCTCCTTTTATAGTTGATCCTAAATAAAGGAGTAATACATTAGCCTTAATGAGACAATTATGAGCAATAAATGACATTAAATAAGACGTTACACAATCATTCCTATTTAATACCAATTCTCTAACGTATTGGGTATTTAATATTGAATTTGGACTCCTTTTTGTCATCATATCCATGTCTTCAATGCCTTCTGATCTCTTGGCTTTAAATGACCTAAATAGGTACGAAGCTTGTATTATTCGAATTGCCTCTCGTGCCTATTTAGCTTTCCTTTCCCCGTATCTGTTGTCACTCGTGCCTCTTAACTGATTATCATGTTTTGACCAGTCCTCGTGTCATGCCACATCACCTTCAATGTAAATTCAGTTTTTTTCCAATACAAAAGGGACAACAAAATATGATCTCAAGGGGATTTGGAGAAAATCAATAAGAGGGATCAAAGGGAAGAAATGCAGGGAGTTCATTACAGCGATGATAGCAGCTCGGATATACAAGATTTGGTGGGCAAGGAATGAAGCACTATGGAACCAAAGAGTCCCTACACCGAGGATCATCTGGGCACAGGTCCAACAAGAATGTAAGGTTAGAGTAGTTCCTTCGTTAAACAGGAAATATAGTAGGAATGAGAGGGACTGGATAGACCAATTGTGTAGGAAACAATGACAGAGTAGAAATAGAAATATAGAATAGGGAGAGAGAAATAAGAAAAAGAGGAGAAACAGATATGAGCACTTGTATGCTGGGATAAGATATTGTACAGTTTTTTATTGGGTGTTGGTGATAAATAAAGATTTCTGTTTCACCAAAAAGGTATAATATAAAAAAAATGTCAATGGGAGTAAAACCAAGTAATTTGTTGTCATTTATCAAATAATTGATAAATATTATCAAGTAATTTCTAGTTTGACAAATTAATTGAGGGGTGTTGATGATTCTACTAGTGATGCGTACAATATCGTGTACAAAAAAAAAAAGGTTGGGTATACTCTATTTTCCATTGCATTTTGAGTGTACTTACAGGCAACTAAACTACTCAAATTAAAGTCTCTACACATATTTTCTAATTAAATTGTTCAATAGCTCCACAAAGACATGTCAGCATGATCAGATTCCATGACATATCCGTCTATACATTGAGGTGGAGGTAGCATTAGCCCCTCGGCCATATTCGCAAGTAATCTCGGCATGCAGAAAAGAGCCTCCTCGTCCATAAACAACACATTATCAGGCAATTCTGCAACCACCTCTTGTATGGCTTGGTCAACAATAATTTCCCTAGAGTTTTCTCCATCGGATTCTAATGGCCGAAATGCTTCGGCGGCTTCAGCGGCCGCCTTCTGAATATCCTTGGCGGCCGATGAAGCTGGTATTGGTAACCTCCAAGCCGAGTCAGCAAAGTTCAAACATGCAGACCGACCTCTTAGAGCTATCGCTGCCACGTCATGAGCTCGAGCCGCCATTTCTGCGGTAGGGAAAGTGCCTAGCCATATTCTTGATTTCTTATTGGGTTCTCTTACTTCACAAACCCACTTATTCGAATTTCTCCTCCTTATTCCCCTGTATACTGGATGTCGAGTTTCACGAAATGTTTTCCTACCTGCACGTTTCTTTGGATAGTTCGAAGCTAACATCACTTCTTCATCAGAATAACTAGGTGTCCCTGAGCTGCCATTATCAGACGATGTTGAAGATTCAGGCAGTATTTCAGCTGGCAACAAAGAAGTTGACAGTGTAGGAATTAGTAGGTCGAAATAGTAGTTTCCAAAAATATCCATTCTTGATCGGTGGAGAGTACGTATTGGAAGTTGGAAGTGTACTGAGGAAAGTTTGAGAGTGGATGATTCAGTTTAAGGTTTCCTTTTGAGTCAATAAATAACATTACGAAAAGCTATTTATAGTGATATGATAAGTGAAATGTTGCATGCATAGGAAGAAAGCTTACGGTTTAGACACGAAGGAACACGGAGTGAGTTAGTAGGAGACAGGCTGGGCGCCTATATATTGTGAACTGCATATATTCTTGGTTTTTAAAAGGTCAAAAGTATTACTGGGGCCTAGCTACTTTATGAGACAATCAACTAGGTTAGTTTCAACACAAGTTCAAGATTTAATTTGTCTGTTTGTTTGTTGAACACGTGTGATTTCTGCTGAGCTTCAAAACATAACAATATCTTTTTACCTTGTAATTACATGTGTATTTAGTAATCAAACAAAACCATAAAATATAATTCCTCCGTCTCAATTTATATAAACCTATTTGGGCACGGAGTTTAAGAAAAAATAAAAAACTTTTAAATTTGGGGTGTAAAATAGGTATAAATATTGTGTATCTATAAATCCTTGCATAAAGGTAAATTATTTTCAAATAAGAAAAATGGTTATTCTTTTTTGCACGAACTAAAAAGGAAATAGGTTCACATAAATTGAAACGGAGGAAATATATCCTTTCTGATTGAATATATGAGACATAATATTTTGTTAGTATATTAAAAAATAACATATTTTTATATGTTTAGATAATTTAAATTTAAATTTTTTATTTTACATTGAATAAGAAACTTTTATAATTATGCAAATATTATGAAATATTTAATATTATAAGTTTTAATGTATTATAATATACAAATATTATGATATATCTAAGATTATTAGCTTAAAAAGAAAATTCTTAAATTTTGTGTCTGATAAATTTCGTCATCTAAATTGAAACAAAAAGAATACGATTAAATTTTGAAGTCTAAGGATGAAGGGCAAGGTTGAAAATAGGATTTTTTACATTCATATACACTATATGAAACTATATTACCCTCCCTACTCTAGTTTTACTATAATTACATTTTATATACCTAATTACTATTTATGTATATTTTAAGGGAATTCATGATATTAATTAGTGTCCTAAAATAACTCTACGTATATTCCCACTCCTCCCACGTTTCTCTCTCCACATCCCACCCCCCTCACCCATGTATCTTGCACTCACCCACGATTTTCTCTTCACAAATCTCAGAAATCCTCCATTAACGCCTATTTCATCACTTTTTCAAAAATCAGATGAAATTTTTACTCTTATTCAAAATTCCTACCTCCATTAACGTCTCTGATTAGCTTGATTTTCAATGAAGAAGAAGATATCTACGTTAAGCAAATGAATTCTTTCTACGTCTCTCTCTATATCTCAATCCTTAATTTCAGTAATGTAAAGCAAAGGAAAAGAGAGCAGCAATTCCATCATTGACAACCATTAAAAAGCTTTGAAGCTTTGAATTCGAATTTGGTTTTTCAAAAACCATTATTTGTTTGGATTGGGTGTTGTTGCAAATAATTGAGAATATGATTTGGAATTTATATCTCAATTTGAGGATGTTTTGGTGAAGATTAGACTTGATTTTGGCTGAATTTCAGATTGAAACTCGAAGAAGAAGAAGAAGAAGAAGAAGAAGAAGAAGAAGAAGACGTGATATACATTATATTTACGTAATTGTAGAAAAATTGTATTCTGTTTATATATTAATTATTGTATGAAAGTTGAATAATATTGTATAAAAATTATATTTAAGTTGTATGATATTGTAGTTGTATATAACTGAGTAGAAATAATGTATGAAAATTGTGAATAAGTTGTAGATAAGCTGTAGATAAGTTGTATAATATATAATTAGTTGTATGAAATTTATTTTTACTATGTATAAATTAGATATAAAATATACAAAAGACATATTGTATAAATTTTGTATTTAAGTTGTATGTTATTGTAGTTATATTTAACTGAGTAGAAATAATGTATGAAAGTTGTAGATAAGTTGTATAATATATAATTAGTTGTATGAAACTTGTTTTTACTATGTATAAATCAGATACAAAATATACAAAAGACATATTGTATAAAATTTGTATAAAAATTGTGTTTAAGTTGTATGATATTGTATAGTTGTATATAACTGGATATAAATAATGTATGAAAGTTGTAGATAAGTTTTACAAGCCTATGACATAAGCTTTGGGATTTTTTCGGTATTTAGACGATTTGTTATTCAAAATTCATCCAGTATGAATGGACCCAAGTTCATCTGTTTTGGATTTCTGCTTCGTCTAATTTTGTAATTGATGATGGTACTTCTCATGCTTTTTCGGAAAATGTCTCACCTTCAAATTCATTTGGTTCTCATCAAGACAAGCCAAGTTATATAGATTGCTGGACTAGTGGCATGAGTTCCTCTTCATATGGTGGTAATTTTCTCGGTTATAATCTATCTGTTCTGCACCTGAAGGACCTTTGTTTCCATAATTTCTTTATCTCCTTTTCTCCATTCTTCTATGGTTTCTTTGATTCAGCGAACCGATTAGTATAGTACATCAGAAAAATAATAAAACTATACTTTATTTGGTTAACCTTTATAATTGGGCTAACCTTTCCCCTGTAAATAATTGGTTAACCTTTATAAATAACTCAGATCACTTCTTGGAATTTGTCACTCCTTAGCTTTATATGTTTTGTGTCTCTTCTTTTCGTAACTTTGCATCCCCTGGATGTTTTAATGATATTTCACTTCACGATTAGTATAGTGCATCAGAAAAATAAGGAAAGAGAAGAAGAGAAAAAAAAGGTAAATGGTGTAACTAAATCCCTTAATTGAAGGCACTAATAATAGATTGGGAGCCTTTTAAGGTGGAATGTATATATGTTGTAAACAAAATTTATACAAGTAAGATAATTTACTAAACATAAACATTTAGGGTAATAAAGTTTTCAATAGTGTATAAGAATAAAAAAAAATCCTTGAAAAAAAAAAAGACGTACTTTGATTGAGGACTGTGACGGTGAGTTGCTAGAGCCGCCCCAATGACTACATCTTTCGAGGTTAACCAAATCCAATTGAAGAGAAAAGCGACAAAATAAACCTTTTGAAAATGATTTCATTGATCCCTAACTGGGCTCCAACACACGGGATTGCCAGTTTAGACTTACTACTCCTTGATCACTTTCCTCTGGTTTTCCACGGAACGTGTTCACCATTATTTTCTTCTACTATCCCCTACACGGACTCACTAGTTGTACGGAATTTGGTAGGATTCCTGATAATTTGCTAGTATCCATTGTTTATTGAGTAAATTACTCTATGAATATTCAATCAAACATATATTTTTTGGTTTCAAAATTAGATACTTTAACCATTTATATAATGAAAACCTTCTGCAAAATATCATGTAGGGTTTCAGTAATTAGGTACGGTATTTAGATGATCGCTCTTAAAATATAGCGGATGCATATATCCGTTATCAAAATAAACTAAAACAAATTAAAGAGAAATAAACAAAAAGAAGGATGAGATCGGAAATGAGAACTTTCTATGTTAAATATATTAGGGGCATTTGCATCTATACCCGCTTTTTCGGTCACGTTTTAACTTGTACCGCTTTGCAAAAATATTGCAAGCGTACCTACTTTTTTCGTTTAACTTCAGCATACGGGGCTGAAGTAGCAAAGACAATCACGCAAAACTTCAGCATTCTAGTAGATGAGACTGAAGTAGCAAGTGTACTGAAGTTTTTGTTTGTAATTGCTGAACTTAAGCATAGTAGCTGAAGTTTTGTTCTCTATTTGCTGAAGTTTTTATTTGTAATTGCTGAAGTTTTTGGTTTTCTAACTGGCGAAATTCAGCTCTAGAGCTGAAATTTTTGTTTTGTAACTAGCGAACTAGAGCTGAAATTTTTGTTTTTGTAACTGGCGAACTTAAGCTCTAGAGCTGAAGTTTTTGTTTTTGTAACTGGCGAAGTTTTGTTTTGTAACTGACGAACTTCAGTTCTAGAGCTGAAATTTTTGTTTTTTGTAACTGGCAAACTTCAGCTCAAGAGCTGAAGTTTTTGTTTTGTAATTGGCGAACTTCAGCTCTAGAGCTGAAGTTTTTGTTTGTAACTGGCGAACTTCAGCTCTAGAGAAGGAAAACAATTCAAAGTTGAATAGCTAGAGCTGGAGTTTTTATTTGTAACTGACGAACTTCAGCTCTAGAGAAGGAAAACAATTCAAAGTTGAATAGCATCACAATTTAACCAGCTATAATATTTTCTCCTCCAACATAAGGCGTGATACGAGGTCATTTACCCTTTGGGGGATGGGTAAGGTGGCGTTACAGAAGGGCAATGAACTGGTAACTGGGTTTGATGAGACATGAAAATGGTGGTTGAGTTGACTCCGTGCTGATAAAGAGCATAAAAATGAAGAAGAAGAAGAAGAATAAGATAAAGGTGACAACTTGATCAGTTATTGGGTGTCCCATTTGTATGTTTAATGGTGTTTCTACTCGCTTATATATTTGTGGATAAAATTAAAAATAAATAAAGATACCACTTAACTTAATTTAGCCAATGATGAATTTGATCCGTGATGCTTTTATTCTACTCCTTGTTCACAACAGACTTTAATGCGGTTCTATAATTAGAATATACAAGATTTGTTTGAGAAGGAGAAGGAGGAGGAGAAAGGGGGCTGAAGTTATTTAAAAAATGGGAAAAAATTAAAACTTTTAAAAAAAATGGATATAGGTTAAATGAGGGGGACAAAATAGGGCGCCCGTGCAATTTTTACAATATATTATTCCATCCGTCCTATTTTATGTTACAACATTTAATTGGATACCAAATTTAAGAAATTAGAGAAGACTTTGACACGTAAGTCTAATATATGCACAAGTTCTACAATTGTCCTTTCAAATGAGGGGCGATATGAGAATTTCACATGTCTTTTTATTTTTAATGAGTGATTGTGAGAGTCATTAATGATAAAACTAGAATGTTAAAACTAAATAATTTTCAAAAAGATTAATGTGCCATTGTTTTTAAGACAAA